AAATCAAATCAAATCTTGCTATTACTGTGCAACAGTATTATTTGTAAGCTATCAAAAAATTAAAGGATATATTCAAGAATTCGAAAGAAAAAAGTATTTAGTACCCTGACGCATAGTTTTTAGCTTTGAGAACTGCTTTGCATCATCTCTGTATTGAATGCACCTCATATCAGTTTTTTCCCATTCTCCTGCCACAACACGTTTTAATCGTTCCAGTGACTGAAGTTTTCTTAAATATACCCTTTTCTTCAAATCAAACCATACATATTCGATCGGGTTCAGATCAGCTGTGCTTGGAGGTCATTATCTTGTTGAAAAATGTATCCTAGCCCTAATTGTATTTTTTCTGCACTCTGCTTAACATTTTTCATCAAGACATCTAAGAATACTCATTTGTTCATAATGCCGTCGATGATTTGCATAGTTCCAACCCCATTAGACTACATGCACCCCCAAAATATCCCATAACCTTCTCCATGTTTCACAGTACGCAGAGTATATAGTTTCGTTAGCCGTATTTCACTTTCTCCATACCGTTTAGAATACAGAAAAGTCATAAAGAGTTATTTTCGTTTCATCCAGCCAAATACCATTATTGCAGAACATCGTATAATTATTTTCGTTCTCTAATTCGTGCTTGAATTCTGGCCAGTCGATTTCGTATTATTTTGCGATGATAGCCATACTTCCACAGTACTCTGCGAATTGTGTGGTTTGATAGTTTGTTTTGCGAGATTTGTTTCATCATTTTGCGGATGTCGGGAGCAATTAATATTGTGGTTTTACTCACCTGTTGAATTATGGACTGTTCGTGCCTGTTATTGAGCTTCTTTCTCTTGGATTTTCTTGGTAGATTCTTTGTTGAACCGTTGGTTGTATCTAAACGTATTTAATTCATAGTTGACTGTGAAATGTTTTTTTACTCTACGCCCAATTTCTTTCAGAGAAAAGCTTCGGAAACCAAGAGTTACGATCATTTTTTCGTCACTCTTTACTTCACTGCTAAATGAACGAAACAAACGAAATGTAGCTGGTAACGGCCACTATGAAGTATGTCTGATCGTGACTAAAGATATTAACAGCCTACGAATAAGGGAATTTATTCATGTGTTAAACAAGAATGTGTCACGGGAATAGAATTAACTTCACATTATAAAGCGAGAAAGCAAATCTATACCTTAAAAATTTCTCTTGTAAATATACGAGGTTCAGGCCAAGTTTATTATGTTAACAGCGTTGTTGCAAACAATAAAGAACATATCCATGTAACCAATAAAATGCCAAAATTCATGATCAAGTGACTGGTTATGCGGTATGGTTCATTCCATCCGTGAAGTCTTATTTCAGTCGGCATCCTATTTTATTTATTAGAAGATTGCGATCTCAAGGTCGCAAACACTTTGAGTAGTATGTACAACATCAGAAATGTGTAGTGAATAATTATTCAGAAAACAATGTAAGGGAAGATTATTCATACAGTTCAAGTTATTCCACAGCAATATTTTAGATTTGATGAAGTTCCTGCTTTAACCCCCTAGGAAACGATGGTTTTCATTAACACATATGGTACAATTTAGTCTTCAATAGGTGTCAGTTTAAAGGGGAATACCATTGACAGAGATCTACCAGGTCTATTGAATGACCTTTTAGGAGATAAATGGAGAGAATTCTTCAGATACTCCTGGCATGGAATGGTATTTTTTTGTTCTTTATGGGGCAATAGCTGAAAATCAAACCGTAATGGATAGTCAAGAACTGAAAGATAATTGTGATTGATAAGAAGATTATCATGAATGAAACGTGTAGATTTTATATTATTTTTAGTTCTTTGTAATTTCTTGAGAGGCCAAAAAATGGTTACATTAGCGAACGAAATCGTTGTAATAGTTTTGTCTGTTTGGAAAAAAATATCTCCATACAAACTGAAGAAAATAATTTACTTCAATTGCATTGCGTTTGTTGTTATTTGTGAATGTCTGCCAGAAAGTTTCTGGCTCTTCATTCTGACGCTTTTGGATGGGGTGGCTTCTACGATTCTTATTGATCACCTTCCCCCATACGAGGACGGGGATTAAGTTATCGGATGGACTTTGGTTTTGCATGGGTTATTTTTGGTTAGGTAAAAACGGGTTCTTTTATTAGGGTGTTGGTGGAGCCGGGGGTATACTGTTTCTTTTCAGTGCGCGGGTTATTTCATTGTGGTTGTTGTTTCAGGAGCGGGGATGGATTTATTTTACTGATAGCTATTGGTGACAGGTTATTTTATGCTTATTTTTTTTTGTATTTCGTGGTTCGTATTGTTGAAGGTACCTGAAGATCTGTTTTAGTCCGTCTGTGTGGCATTTAGTGGGGCGTTAGTCATGCTTATGGCTTAATTGGGTGGCGGTGGGAGTTATACGATTTCGATGGGGTGTTTTTTAATTCTATTCTCGGCTGAGTTTGACGGATGTGGTCGTGGGGTATGAGAAGATGTAATTTGAGGATAATCATAGTGCCCTATTTTATGCAAAAGCAAATACATCCTCGGGTGCGTCGGACAAAAGCAAACATGTTCAAATTTAAACCTGCAATATGGTCATAATTATAAATAATTGATTTGAATACAGTGTACGTAACAATACTGTAAGCAGTACAGAATATTACATTGTTTTAAAAGGCGATAGCTTGTCAACAATTAGTTTTTCGCTGTTTCAGAAAAAAAATATGATTCGATGTATATGTTATTTGCATGAACGCTCCTCATTTAGTTCTTCAATATATCCTTGCAGAAGGATGTGAGGGTTTTCTGGGTCGGTATATGACACTTCCAAATTTTTTCATTGTACACCTGACGGACGGACAGTGATGGAGGATGGAGGATCAGTCAAACAGGTGTTACGAAAAAACACTTTATCGACGACGTCTTGCTGTCCGGGTGACGACGCGTTTTTGGCTGAGAGGCTTCTCAGGCGTCACCCGGACAGCCGCGGCGTCACCCGGACAGCCAAGGTGTCATGAACTCGAGCCGCGGAAGCCTACGTGTACACACTTTATCGATATCAGGCGCCTCCATATCACACGTATTTCTGTTTTTCGACATCGATTTTCTTGCAGCATTTTCTCTAAACTACTGAGACGAGAAAGTGAAATGGTCAGATCGAGAGCAGCGTGCGTGAGTAACCCCTCCGTTACCTTGCACTTCCTCAAGCAAGGCAGCCGTGACCTTTCCGGAAGAGACGGACTCGGCGGCCCCGTTTCTGGAAGTTCCACTTGGAGGAAAACCCCAATTTAACGAAGGTCAAAGAATATCAGTTTCCTCAAGCGCAATAAATAAATTGTGAATTTGTCACCGGCCCTCCGTTACTTCTCAATGCACTGATGGGTAAACACATATTTTGAAAGTGTTTTTAATGTCTTTCTTGAAGAAAAAAATAAGGTTTATACTCGTAAATAAATACATTTTTATCAATATGGCACCTAAACTTCATGGCACCGCGTGTGTGTTTCATTTGAAATTTTCAGTCTTATTTTTTACACGAGGAAATAAGTTGTTATCCGCAATCGTAATGTGCATGTATTAAATACACTTCGATATCCATTTCCAGGTGCTGTTATAACTTTGTCGTTTATAAATCAATTGTAAGAAGTATGACGAACTGATTTATTGAATTCTCAAATTGTATTAGAATCCTTTTTCATTTCTGGGCGGTTACAAAAAATAGTTGTAATTCACTAATGAATAATTACAAAAAATTTCCCTCCTGCTAAATTCCATATCTACATTCTTACACTTGGAGGATTATTTCGCAAACGTGACCTGGGGTTTACCCCTAAAAATCACAAAAACAGAGTGAAGGAAGGTCATTGAGCTAATACGGTAATATCTTTGGCAGTCTTCATTATCAATGGAGAACACTTTCAATTTCGTTTGAAATCGGAAATATTACTTTCAATAAAATAGTTTACTTATTTATATTATTACCTTAAGAATATGATAATTAAGTACAGTTTCACGAAGAATAATTTATTACTTGCGTTAAGGCATTTAGGAGGGCAAATGTTTCCTTCAAAGTCTGTATCAAAGTCTGTGTATTCAAATTGTGTACTTGACAGAAATAACGAAGGATAATCAAATATTTTTTACTAAAACAATGGAGTTCCACCAAGCAGGTATTTTCAGGAGACAGAAAAAACTTTCTTACTTCAATATATTGGAAGTTAAGAGTTTTGTGGTTCAGATATAAAGTAACACAGTGTTTCAAATGCTATTATCAATTTCAAGGCACAGTGTAGAGATTTTGTTTAAAAAAAACAGCAAGATGGGAAGTGGCATTCATTTATTTTTTTATTTCTTCGTACCAAATGCCTAAAAAAGGCCGTATGAGACTGAAGCTGCATTTCTTTTCAACAAAATAGTTTTTTGTAGAAATAAACTTTGGTATATTTTATAAGTATTAATTGTAATATTATTATATATTTGTATGTATGTAATACTATTGTAGTATTATATATTTTCTTCCTTGTGACCTACGTATCATTTTTATTTTATGCTTTGTACCATTAAATACTTCTAATTATGTAAGAGTCAAAACTATAATCATCATTATAAATATAATAATGTTATCACATTCTTCAACCAAATGTAAAATGCAATTGACGCTAAGCACCATCGCTGTTGATGCGACTATAAAAACGATGATAGCCGAAAAAAAAGCACTAACGCTCGTAATGCGTATGTGTGTACACAAGCGACCAACGTAAAAAAAATGCACCTATTTTAGGGCGTACGCTGTTGTCGTCAGAATTGGAACTACAAGCATTATTATAAATATAATAATGTTCTCACATCCTTCAACCAAATGTAAAATGCAATTGACGCTAAGCACCATCGCTGTTGACGCGGCAATAAATAAAAACAAAGATAGCCAAACAAAAGCACTAACGCCACGTAATGCGTATGTGTGTACACACGCGACCAACGTAAAAAAAAGCACCTATTTTAGGGCGTACGCTGTTGTCAGAATTGGAACGGCCCGAAAGGGGTTCGGCGGCGCTCGCCCGCCCCAGCAGCAAATTCCCGGCGCTCGCGGCCGGCGCCGCCCCGCAGGAATTCTCCTGTTGGCTGCGGCGGCGACCGTTCCTTAACTGTTCGTCCACCCCTCGGGGAAAGCGGCCGCGCGTATAAAGCGGCCCCCATCTGCAGGGGGCGCATTCACAGGTCGCTCGCCTTCCTCGCATCGCCATGAGAACCATTCTTGGGGTGAGTGATTCTTCTTCTTCTTCTTTTTTTTGTTTATTTTTTTATTTTTATTTTATTTTATTAAATACTTTTCTGATACGGCGTACTCTTTACGGAATTGTTTGGTTGTGAGACATAAATGTACGAAATAATACATCGTAAATAAAATGAGGGTGACCTCACTGAGCTCCTCAATGGAAAATCAAAGCGAGGTGTTAGGTGCTTTTTTGCTGGTGGATTGTGAAATGTGTGCGGTCACGGGGCTTATAGTTTCGATTTATTTAGTCGTGCATTTGACGCGAATCAGCTGTTGCGGTTTCATCCAATCGGGAGCGTATGTGTCGGTACAGTGATGTCACTATGGGGACGTTCAAGCTCCCGATTGGATGAAACCGTGAACAGCTGATTCACGTCAAGGGTACGGGTAAGTAAGTCCTAGTATATGATGTGAGGGTAGAATAGGAGTTGCGGAGGACGGAATTTATCTTTGGGGAATCTGGAGGGAATGCTGTTTAGATGAGGTTATGAATATTGGTATTGTGGTGAGTTTTCGTTGGCATTTACAATTAAATAATTATATGAGTCGTCATTGCTAACAATATTATTTGTTATAATAGCAGCTTTCGATGGCTTAACCATCATCATCAGTTTTATAGTACAAAACAAAAGAATAAAAACAAAAAATCAACGTGTTCTTAAAGTGTTAAATATATTTTCTAAAACTTGTAAATTATTAGTAATATTTTATTATAATTTTGTTGTCAAATCAAAAAAATATTCACGTTTTAACGTTTTTTGTTTTTCTTCTTGTACTAGAAAACTGATGATGGCTAAGCCATCGAAAGCTGCTATTATAATAAATAATATTGTTGGCAATGACGACTCATACAATTATTTCATTGAGGTTATGAAGCTTGTTGAAAAATCTTACGGAGAGGCGGGCGATGTGCTGGTCTACTGGAGGGAATTTTAGGTCATTGTGAATTTGTACATTTTAAATGTACCATGGAGCATTTAAGGTATTGCGGAGGACTTTATTCTGTAGGATTCGGATGTGTTTTATTGTTGAGGGGGCTGCATACGTGATTGCAGGGAGGACTAGAGATTTATATAAGTGTAAGGTCGTAGTGATTGATAATTCTGGAGGCCAACTTCCATTGCTAATGCATGCTAGTTAATTATTCGGTTCACCTTACTTCATTTGTGTCAAAATAATATATTTTTGGAATGAGTAGATTTCATGTTTCACTTTCAATTTGAATTTTGTTTAGAAATTATTTTTATGTGCAATATAACAGAATATTTATATCAAAAACGTTTTATAAAAGCTCGACGACGATTTTAGTTTCTAGATTTAGCAATATATTGTCACATAGTGTTTTTCACTCCATGTGTAGTAATTGTTAATATTCCTAATTATTACTATATATTCGACGCTAACAAAAACGCAATATTGCGACCTAATATCTACTCTGTGATCAAACTTATCGGGACACGTGGCTGATAAATACTTATTACATTTTCTACAAATAGCATCATCATCATCTAAGGACATTGTATGGCACTTATATGAAATAATAAGTGACATTATATGGCATTTATTAATAAATGAAATAAAACTAATACGTTTTTCAAATAATATACCACATATAGAGAGCTTCAACGTTCTAATAATTCTCGGACAACAGATTACAAAAAAATATTTTTTTTGTATTTCACTAAAGATGTGTAGTTTTGAAAATAAGGAATATTTTTGGCCAGATTTATTTCCTATGAGGTTCTGTTTGATGACGATTGAAAGAATAACATAGACTGAATATTAGAATAAAGGAACATGTTAAATAACACGAATTTTTAATTCTGGACATGTTTGTATGTTATACATGCCATTTGAGATGTTTTGCAGTTAAACGTAATATAAACTCATGAATATCGGCAGTTGTTCCATTTAGTTCAAGGTGGTGAGGAGAAAAATAATTTTATTATTACTATCGTATTTTCACTCTGCTGTACGCCTACATTATCTTTAAATACAAAAATTACCTGTACGCTTAAGTAATATCAATTATTGGTTTCGTTTCATTGAAGTTCAAGAAGATTCTTATATTATTGTTATCATATCTATAAACTTCATTCTTTGGCAATAATTGAGAAAAGCAAGATCTTCTTCATGTATTGATGAATGAGATATTGTAGATCGAAAAATAATAAACGAATCTACGAATTAAATGTTTTCAACGGGAAGTGCATAAGAAGCTGTGCTACATTTCATTTAAGACGTACATCTTTGTATTAAATTTGTTTCACTAATTTTTATATTATTTTCTTTTTCTTTGACTTGATACGCAATATTTCACATTCAGAACGCCTACATAAAGATATTATTGTATGTATTTGTTAATGTTGATATATAGAATATATAAATCTAACATGAATGCATTTTACATTCGGATATTAATACACTTTGTAAATACATTTACATACTCTCTAAATTTGGAAACACATTATCGTAAAAAATTAGAACCAATTTAAATATTTAGTTAATTTTTAATTACTTACCAGTTACCTTTGTATTTAAAAGTGTCAATTCGAATATTGTTCGAGGTGGCAAGCGTGTAAAGGCCCATTTACAATGCAAACATAAGAATAAGCATGGTGTTAACATAAATGTTATGACTGTGTCCACCAGCGGACTCATTGACGATGCGTTGGCATAAGCATAACATGTAAAGTGTTAACTTACAAGCTTGCAAGCTTGAAGCTTCTGTAACTTATGCTTAAGTAAGGCATAAGGACAAATCGCAGAACGTTAACTCAAAATCGAGTATCGAAATAGGATCGAAGCCGAATGACAAACTTAACGCCATGTACCATGGGCCATGGACATAGTCGATACCTCGAAAACGATTCTCACATCCAACAAACAGTAAACTAGAATATCTCACTACCTTTAATTAAATGGAACCCTCATCACCTTCAACAAAACGGAACAATGGCCGATATTCATATTATGTTAAATTGCGAAACATCTCAAATGGCATGTATAACATATTAACATGTTCAGAATTAAAAATTCGTGTTATTGAATATGTTCTTTTATTCTGATACTCAGACTACTGTTATTCTATCAATCGTCATCAAATAGAAACGTTTACTTTACTTACATTTACGTTAAATGTTGCGAATACTTCAGTCCATCACTTATGTTAATGTTTAATTGAATTGAATTAATGCCTTATTTTATGTGGCGATACTCAGGCCATGAGACCTGCTCTTCCGTCTGACCATGTTTACGTCTATGGGTTATCCTTATGTGTATGTATTGTGAATGGGCCTTGAGGGATCTGTGTGTGTGTTACAGGTGGCCGCGATTGTGGCTCTGTTGGGCTTCGCCGTGGGGCTTCCCGCCGCCCGCCCGGCGCCGCCCGCGCACGACCACGCCCACGAGGCGGTCCCGCCCGCGGCGGCCCCCTGCGCGCCGCTGCCACCGCCGCCCCCGCCCCCGGCGCACGACCTCGCTCACGTCCACGACAAGCTGGACGAGGTGGTGCAAGCCGTGCTGTTCGAGGCTAGGCCCATCGGCGTCGAGCTCGCCCCCGCCCACCTCCTCGCCCACGCCCACGCGTAAGTGCTTGCCAGGGGATGCTCACATTCACTGATTAACATTTACGGGCGCGGCTAAGCTCATTTGCCCCGTAAGTGGAGTGCATGATGTAATCGGGGAGGTGGCGATGAACTTCCTCCGCTGTTTGACGAGATTCAGCGCCGACGTACTGTAAGCTTGTGGGTTTTCCCCAACCAGGTATCTCCCACCAGCGGCACACCGCCTCACTCTGAACAATCTCTTAACTCCCGCCTGCGCTCCCGACAAGTGTGTTAATACAGTGCATGGCAGTGTAAGTGTGTGACAGTAGGGGGTGAGGATAGAATAGGGAAGAGGAAGGAAAGATCGCGCGCGGTTCGTAACACGCTTGTCAGGGTAATGCTCCGATATTGACTCGGTGTTGATCCGAGAAACAACGGAAATCTACCAATCAGAGCACTCTCCCGCTAGAATTCTCTTCCAGGCTTCTCAGAGACAACTAGGCCTCACAATTCGAATATCTGCCTAGAAAAGTACCTTTTGATGTCTAAAGAGTGAATAGAAATTGCATAACACTTTTCGAGAATCTATTGTCTTAAGACAACTTAAGTTACATTTATCCTTTTTTTCACAATGAAGAATTTAAACTTTCTTGGAATTCGCCATCAACTGTTTCCAGAAAACTCATATAATAATAATAATAA